CCCCAAAACCCCAAAACCCCAAAACCCCAAAACCCCAAAACCCCAAAACCCCAAAACCCCTTGTTCTTTGATAATATTGAAAGATACTATTCAAGTTTTATTTGAGAAACTATCACAGTGATATCATCCTTCTTACCTCCATATCTTGTCTCTTTATCAGATGCTGCAGAACTCACTTGGAATGGAGATTCATAGTTTTCATCATGAGAGTGTTCAAATGCTATTTCAGCTATTTTTTGGCTAGCTTTTTGGGGGTCTTCTAAGTTTCCTGTTTCAGTAGTGCTGTCTTCGATCACTTTGATAACTTCTTCGTCAAATGTATTATCCCATACTCCGTCTGTGGCCATAACAATTATATCGTTGTGAACTACTGAGTGAACCTCATCATTTGCCTTGTATGGGTGATCTCCATGAGTCCCAACTTGGTATGGACAATCAAAGTAATGCTGTTGTTCAAGGCTTCTATACATTTTTAGCCAATTTCCTCTTGGATATTCATGCGTGTTGTGTCTTAGAAGAAGATAAGAAGAATCTCCAAGATTTGTTGTTGCAAGAGTTCTTTCATCAGCATCAAGAATTGCAATCACAGCAGTAGTAGATCCAATTTCAGTTGTGTGTTTTGCAGCTTCAGTAAGGATTTCTTTTGGTGTAAAGTGTGGATTTTCATCATAAGTACCACTGATAAGTCCCATCAGCTGTTTAGAATATTTGGCTACATCATATCCTGCTTCTGTCCATCCTCCAACTCCATCTTCAACTGAGATCATTCTCTCTTTGATCACTAATGCATCTTCGCCACCTTTATACTCCTTATCTGGGTGGGGTTTTACAGTTGCTCCTGATTTCAAATACCCAAAACTGGCCGCATAAGCTGGATATTTATTATAAAAATACGTTGAGAATAATAGCCCTCCGGCTGCACAAATATTTTTAGGAGTAAAGAAGGATCCTAGTTTCATTTTTAAATTATTTAAAACTATAGACTTCAATTCTAGATCTTGTTCAAGGGGTTTTGGGGTTTTGGGGTTTTGGGGTTTTGGGG